TTTACTTAAGTAAAGGATGTGGATTCCTCCTCCACCATTGACTAAAGAACTCCTCTCTCTGTTTTCCTCAGCATCCCCTACTTTGAGACGAGCGCAGTGACAGGTGTTGACGTGGACCAGGCCGTGTCCACCCTGCTGGGCCTGGTGATGAAGAGGATGGAGCACAGCACATACGGAGGCCCCAGCCCCGCACCCAACGGCAGCCCCGTCACGAGCCACGAAGTGGTGGAGGCTCCCGTCAGGAGGAGGTGTGCCTGCTGATCTTGACCACGAGCAGCCACTCCAACCACTTTTCACATCTGCCCTGAGTGACACTGCAGTTTGGGTTGCCACTGTTATGGAGCTTGACTAAGGGGCCTGCTAGGTAAGGCAGAAGATCAGTTGAAAATCAACTAAAATATGATCCATACTTGAGATATCCATTTCACTAAAACCAATATTGTTATTACCGTGTAAATCCTCTCTAGATATTTCTTGTCTGTAATATTATTTATTCATAGCCTATGCACTGTTAAGTGAGAAAGAGGAAGGACAGGAGGAGATAAGACTTTAAAACTGAATATAGGTGTTGTTATAGAAAATATTTAAAAAAAAACTTAAATGAATTAATAATTTTTAATTGGTTAATCCATCCATTTTATGCTGATTATCCAGGTCCAGGTCTAATTATTAATTGAGCATATATCATAATAATTCTTATTATTCTTAGAAATTATCGCTATAGGCTGGGAAGTAAAGAAAAAATGATTCTAAGCCATATTACCCCTACTGGTTTTTCCATATTTTCATTATTTTACTGGCTTGACCATATTATATTTTATTCAATTTGACTGTGTGTGCTATTAAAAGGGTATTAAAAAGTTTCAGATTTAAATTGGTGAACCCTGCAGAAACCGGTTTAAAGCCATCAAGTAGTTCAGCAAAAAAAGAAACAAAAAACAAAACAAAACATCTTCAAATGAGTAATGTCAGAGAAAAATACCGTTTTTATTTGACACATTGAGGCATTGATGGAAGGAGTATGCAGGCACATAACGTATATTTATCATGGAGTATAATCTAAAAACATTTAAGACATGGTTACATTTCTTATATGGATGATCATTTTTGTTTAGAACAACCAAGATAGCACAGTCCCTTACATGATTTATGACTTTTATACGACATGTACATAAGCAGCCAAGCTTTTTTATGCATTATGGAACGAAGTTGCCATGCAGATTGAACACAAGTACAAGAATGTTAAAGGGTTGTTGGAATGAGTCCTGTATAGTGCTGCATTTAGAATAAAGACAATTTATGTTAAGATTATGTATGTCACTGTCTGGTCATTTAAATGTAATGCACAAAAAGCTATATTGTTTTTCTGACTGGAATTACAATCCTCACAGACTTTGTTAGCATCATTACGGTTTTACACACACTGAGATAAACTTAAGAAAAACTTTTTGGAGGAGGAAAATGTCTATCATTCGTGTCAGTGCCAGTGCGTTTTTCAAACTACAGGAGCACATTCATGGAGTCACAAATAAATTCCACCACATCACTTTGGCTGAAGCCAAAAAAAGCAAAAGTTTCAAATAATTTTTGTGCCACAAAAAGTGAAATTCAACAAAGGCATATTCCATTTCTCCTGCCATAATACTTGGTGTGAGTTGTCGTACAGCTTCGAAAATCCCAAACTGGTCTATATCAAGCCAAGGTAACATTGCTCCTTTGAACATATGGTCTTTGGTGTACACAACATTCCTAATGGAGGGACTAAATTATTCTTAAATGAACACATCTATGACATCAATTAAATGGCCTGAAATTCATCAGATGTATTTTCGTGGTTGTTGGTTGGTGACTGCACTGTGATTAAGAGACGAGACACAAACGTTATATCTATCTGAAATCTGAAATCTGAAATATCTGACGGAAGAAAAAAAGCTTTGTGTGGGACAGGATGTCAAGCAAATGCCCGTCATGCCAAATCTGAATAAGCACAAAAGCACACACTACATCTGGGAAGTGTGAATGACTGCATTTCTCTGTGTATTTCACATCAGCCTAAGCCAGAATTTGAAACAAGGAGCACATGTTGCAGAGTCATAAGACGGTCATATGGCCAGCTTTCACTGTTTGGGCTCAGTCGTCCTCAACCCTTTATCCACCAGTCTGCTTCAGTCTGGCATGATGGGGTGGACTGTTTTTGAGAACCCAAGATTATTTACACTTATAAAAAATAAAGCTTGTTCATTTTTAAGTCGATCTGTAGAGGTTTGGTCCCATGTGGAATATAGCAGTAGGTTTCTTTTTTTTAGCCTTCAAACATCTGTCATACAAAGACACTGGTGATATTCTTGAGGAATACACCATCAGGAATACAAACAATAGCAAATAACTAAATTTTACCCTCAAAACAATCTTCAAAAAGGTTGTATAAAACTAGCCTAAAAGATTTGTTAGTGCCTCACATGCAATGTCATTTAAATGGATCATGCTTTTTTTATACAAGATGCAGTAAGTCATATAACATTCATTCATTTCTGTTTTATGTCACAAATATTGGAATTGATATGGTTACATGATGAATAAATAACTTTCCCCCAGTCATCAAAAGCTCTATAATAAATAGTGTAGTCTCGTCTTTAGTGTTTTTGTAATTGAAATAGTGGTAACCTAAAGATCAGTTGTTGGTAGATATTGAATAATTGAAGAAACTGTCCAAAATGTTATATTTCCTAATGTTTTTAGCCATGCTAGCGCCATGATTTAGGTCACAAGATGGTCTTAATCTGGTACCCTCTGGTCAGACTTTACACTTTTTGCCTCATTAGTGGTAGGAATTGCAAAATTGCCACTCCATTTGTCACTGATCCAACAGTTTGTTTTCTGGAGACAGTTGCAGCTGTTCGTAAGTTCACACTTAGCTTGTGTTTACTAAGTGGAGATTTATGCGCCAAGTTAAAACAGGTTTCACCACACAAACTAGTTCTTATGTAATATTAATTGAATATATACACCCACTAAACTGCCAGGTGTACTTGTTGCATAGCTAACGGAACTAGCTGATGCAGCTAACATTAGCTTGCAAATACATAACCTGTTTAGACTGAAGAGTAAAAGAGAAAATATAGAAAATTTGGTTCAAAAGTCTGTTATCATACTGTTTAATAATGTAAACTTGAGAAATTTTAAATTACATTTCACAAAAATAACACTATAGCTCAAATTACAAAATGTTATGTCAGTAATGTTGCACTAAATGGCCGAATAACAGCAGTTTGGTTAGCATAATCGGATATTTAGAAATCACACTACACTGCATGAATACTATTAACTCTGAAACATTAACGTATTTCTCTATATGCATATATAAATAAAACAAAGTCATATCTAACTACATTTACAAAGGATTGCCAGTGTTTAACTCCGCAAAACTTTTACATTTGGAAGTTTTGTTGCGTATGTTGCATTATGTTTCAATAATAAAGTCTTTAAAAGCTAGCATATTGGGTTTTAAAGGGAAATACACTTGTCTTTTTTGTGAGACTCAATTGAGAAAATCGATACCACTTTCATGTCTGTATGTTAAATATGAAGCTGTAGCCAGCAGCGAGTTAGCTTAGCTTAGCACAGGGAGTGGCTAGCCTGGCTCTTTCCAAAGGTAACAAAATCCACCAACCAGCACCTTTAAAGCTCACTAATTAACATGCTATATCTCGTTTGTTTAATCTGTACAAAAAATGTGTGTAAAAACGACAATTTGTGGTTGATGATGATGGGCTCCCTGATAAACAAAATTAAACTTCTGGCACAACAAATGCCTGAGTCCTCAGCCCAAGTCTGGCCCCATACACTTCCACTTCTGGCTTGATTCCAGCTGTTATCCTCCAGTGTTGGCTGACAGCCAGGAAGATTTTCTTTGTGTGCGCCAGAATTGGTCCAGATGTGGAAGCAGCATCTGACAGTCATGTTGTATGTGGGTCAAGGAACCGGGGCGTATATTGAGCCAGAATAATTTTGCTGCCAGGGTTACTATTTGTCTGACATTAGCAGTGACTCCCTGAAGTCTTGTCGTCACCATAAGGTTGCAACCAGATTTAGTAACACACTAGTTTGAAAATAGCTAGTAGTTAATTAGAATTTAGGAAGAACTTTACACACAAACTTAGGAATGGATTTACGAATAGCCAGTGCAACCTTAGCCCCAGTTTGTGACTCTCATGTATTGCCATTACATCACAAAACTAAGTATCTAATTTCTGAAAAATAAATACCTGACAAACTCAGAAAGCTGTTTAATGAAACTAACGAAACTCTCAAAAAATTTCAATGTCAGGCTCAACTTGTGCAACATGAGCCAAACAAAGAATTTAACTTTTTTTAAATTGCAAACAAAATAACGTGTTAGTATTTGTCTTGGGTTGTAAAAGAGTAAGAAGATATGTCATTACCATCTTACTGGACAGGAAATAGAGTAGCAACTCGGGAAACAGGTTAAAAACTTCTTTTTTTTTTTTTTTTAAATCTTGCTGTGGACTAAATATTATCTTTGAGGAGTCAGGAAACACCAGAATCAGAATACCAGAAAGAACAGTGGTTAAATGTTGTTAGACGACATTTTGGGTTTTTCAAAGATTGCCGGGTATTTATGTTGTTTGAAAATCTAAACTCTGTGACTTGAATGTAACCGCTAGCGTGGCTATAGACTTGTACTCTTGTAGGAAGATATTTCAAATGTCTTATAGTTTCAGAACCTAATGTAGGCCGATACCACTTTCTTTAATTCTGTATTGTAATGACAACATACTTTCTGCTTTCTGTCCATGGATTTTATGGCTTATTGTTGGAATGTTGATTGTTATTCCAAAAATTTGAAGAATCTCAACAAAATTTGAAGTGGACAGTCACACTGTCTACAGAGAATAAAAGACACACAAGTATATTATATACATGTGTGTATATTTATATATATATATATATCTCTCTCTATATATATATAGAGAGAGAGAGATATATACAGTACAGTCTTGTAAACATATACCGTCTTCCAGAGCAGTGCAGATTGTCTGACAGCTCAAGGGGGAAAAGGCCTGAAAACAGGAACTGCACCTCTCTTGAGGCATTGAATCTGATTACAAAAAAACACTGATCTAACTCCTTCCCTGAGATTGGGCAGTGATTTCAGTGTACAGAATCAGTATACTGTTGTAAAAGGCGATAAATCTATCAATACTGTATTAAACAGATTTGACTCTCTGTTTCCACAGCTGAATCCCCTGCGGACTCCAGTTAAATAGACGTTTGTTCTGTTCGAGCTGTTTAGCCACGGCCAGCAGCCATGCAAAGGAGACTAATGGAAGCAACTGAGCAGCATAAAAATCCTAACTGTACTGAACACAACGATATACCGAATGAATCTGCGATTTATACCACGAGTGAGCCTGACATCTTCATGTGAAATCACAGCGTGATGTGAGTGTGTGTTTGTAGAATGAGGGTGTCATAAATTGCCTTAACACTTATCATGCAACGTGGGTCACAACAGAAGTTTTGAACAGAGCTGATGTATCTGGGTCACGGCCTGTGGAGTCACCTCTTAAACCATCCAACACTCATTGTATGTCTAAGCAGTGCAGTGCGTCAGACTGAGCTTGGTCACGCCTTCCCTGTGCAGCTTGTAGAGCAGCTTGAACTCGCTGGGCAGCTGGTGAGTCTCCTGCCACTTGGTGGTGAATTTGGTCCCTTTCTTGTCGTAGTAGTGGTAAGGCAGCTCTTTGCCCGTGTTGGGGTCCCAGCCGAAGGGCCAGAAGCCGTACAGATGGATCTCGTCGCACATGGCATAGGCCAGAGTGTACATGAGTATTCCCGTGCTGAGACGTTTGGGAGAGAGGTTTTTAGTCTTCCAGTATCTGTGAGGGAAAAGACAAGTCAGCAGGTCAAAAATAAATTAAACCCAAACAACTCTGATTTCCAAAGTGGAGAATATCCAGATCCTAATCCTTCCTGCTGAAGCTTTAACACTGATGCATTGAGCAGTGAGCACCAATACTGATGCCCAGTCCTTGTCCTTTACATACGTATTTTTTGTTGGCATAAAACCAAATTTAATATACTGAGCCTAAAAGTCCTCGAATCAGCCTGTAAACAACACCCACAATGCCAAAGTTTTTAACTGCTGAATGTAACCTCCCTCTGGGCAGCTAAAGCTCTCAAATTCTCCAAAAAATCCCAATGGCTATAGCCCTAAAAAAACTTTCCATTTAGATGTGTCATTATTGTCACTTTGGTTGTGCACAAATGATAAATCAGATCAGCCCTCTTACTTGTTGACATCGTGCATGATGTTTCCTGGCCAGGCCAGTTCGACCTTCAGTTGGCCCTTGTGCTCCACAAAGAAGTCCACCAGGGTCCTGGTCACTGTGGCTGAGGTATGGAGGAAGAAGGCGGGGATCCACAGGATGGCTCCCTCCAGCTTCTTCAGGTTGAGGAAGAAATTATTCCTGTCTTGAATGGTCAGCAGGTTATTGTAGTATCTCTCCAGGATGCTGGGGTTAAAGGTGGTCAGGTTGGTCTTCCTGCCCACATCCTTGGAGTAGACCTCCGTGGGAGCGAAGTTGCAGCGAAAGACGAAGTCAGCCTGGTCGATTTCTGGACCACAGTGGCTGCCGGTCAGGATGCCGCTGTTTCCCACCACAGCACACATGCTGTAGTGCTTGTTGAGGATAGGAGAGGTGTCTGGGAGCAGGGATTTGAAGTTGTTGCTGATGGAGAAGACGTACTTGTGGCTGGAGTAATCAAAGTGCATCAGCTGGCCAACACGCACACGATTCTTTGTGAGGGAGAAGTTGTTGGGAATGTCAATGTAGCTGAAGATATCTTTCCTGAAAAAAAGAAAAAACACTTAGAAAACACGGTTACAGGCAGCAATAGGAGATGCAGCTTTGTATTTATGGGCCTATTTATATGCATCTAAACAAGCGATCTAGTTTCAGCTCAATAAATACAAGTGTGATGCAGCCACAAGACATAACTGCATAAGTGCATAGCCATTACTTACTGTGCAGTTGTTAGTAGAAGTAGAATATTTGATTAGTCGATCCACAGAAAATTAATCAGTGACTATTTTGATAATTGATTTATCGTTTAAGTCAGATAATAAGTCCAGCTTCACAAATGTGAAGATTTGATGCTTTTCTCTGTTTTATATGATAATAAACTGAATATTTTTTTAGGTGTTGGATTGTTGATTAGGCAAAACAAACAATTTGAAGATGTCACCTCAGGCTCTGGGAAATTATCATGGGCATTTTCTTGTACTATTTTCTAATGTTGTATAGATCAAACAATTAGTTCATTGATCAATTAAATAACTGGCAGATTAATCAATAAGGAAAATATTAGTTGCCCTGTCCAACTATACATTTAACATTTAACCAACACTTAACCACTACTGGCCTACCCTATATCCTGCAGGATGACAGATAAAACAAAAAAGAAAAAACCTTATGAAGTACAGTAGGAAATATAGTTGAGAATTAAAATCTCTTACCTCTGCTGATAAAAAGCAGTCTTGTTGAACTTCCATTTGGACGGTTTTCCTTGAAGCTCTTCGTTCAGGGCGTTGGTTAATGGGATGAAGGATGGGTCCAGAAAATTCATGGCAAACTGAGACCTGAAAACAACATTACATTTAAAAAAGAAATATCATGCTTAGTAATCATTATGTGATATTAAACGTAATCTAGAGTCACGCTCGTATTCGTATTGGTCTTGTCCTGTTTTTGATTATTGGCTACCTTTATTCTGATGGTTTTCTATAGAGAGATCTGAGTTTTTCATACCGTATAGGCCACAGCAAGCTTACTCTATAATAATAATAGGCTGTATCATTGTTTATTTGTACTTAAGTGAAGTACAAGTACCTCCAAGTTGTACTTAAACACAATATTTGAGTAAATGTACTCAACACTATTTACATGTTGATCATGTGGGTTGCACATGTAAAACATAGATCTTCAAATTAACTATTAATTATCAGTAGTGGAAGAAGAATTAAGATCCATTACATAATGTGTAAATACTAATGCCACACGTAAAAAATTTTGGTTCGTAAAAACTAACAGTGAGCCTTTCGCAATAGACCCAAAGTGAAACCTTTACATTGCCTGTTTTGTCCATGCAAAAATAAAATAAACAAATCCTCAAATCTTAGACAATAGAACAATGAAATGTTTGGCCTTTTTTATTGAGAAAATACTTAAAGAATTATAAAAAATAGTTGTTTAATTCATAACAAAGCATCATATTTCATAAAGTGACTTGTAAGTGCCAAATAAATGCAGCAAGATAAAAAAAAATGCAATTTTCCTTTTAAAGTATAAAGTAGCATAAATGGAAATACTCATATTAAATACCTCAGAACTGCACAGTACTTGAGGAAATGTACTCAGTTACCTGCCACCTCTGTCTTTTGAGCCACAAAAAAATGGATGTGATGTTGATGAGGATGATGCATACCTTCACAGTATAGCTACTGTAGTGTGTGTCAAGTTATCTAAAAGTATAATTTATCTAAGTATATTTTCAGCACCACCTTGGACAGCTCAGTGTTTGATTGACAGGAAGCATATGGTCCAAATTGAGGGAAAGTGATGTATAAGGCTTGTATATCACATCCAGGTTGAATCATGCACATTACAGGCCACACTCCTCTGTTTATATTTACACCAACCTTGGTCTGCATCTCATCAACTACCTACAATCTCTGCTATGAAAAAGAAGATCACTCACCGAAATCCTGCATGGAACATAATCCTCGGGCCTCCCATGTAATATTTAGAGGAGGTGAAGAGGCTGTCTTTTCTCAGGGAGACATAGCTGATGAGCGACAGTATGAGCACAGCGACGCACAGAATAACCAAACCCAGGGCCTTGGCGATGCGGACCATCTTGGGAGCGTTTTCATTCCCTGTATGTAGCTGCAGCGAGGCGTTGGCCTATATTGTCATCTCCGGGACCGCACACTGTTGCTGCCTGCCTGCAAGACACAGACAAACTGGAGCTCATCGGCTCATATAGTCGTATAAAATGGACGGCTGGTGGTGGTAGTCGGCTGCATAGTGAAGATGCCGCGGCTCGGTCCTCTCTCATTCCTCCGCCTGCCCAGACCCCTGACTACTGCTGCTGCTGCTGCTGCCGCTGCTGCTTCACACTCGGCTGCGACTCCCCTCCAGGCTGCCGCTTTAATCAAGGAGATGGAGCAGAAATGCGTGTCAACACATCCAGCCAGCCAGAAGACAAGCCCCGTTCACCAACACCAGCACCACCACCAGCAGCATCACCGGCACCACCTCCGCCCACCCCCCTACCCCTCCCTCTGTGTCTCTCTCTCTCTCTCACACACACACACACACACACACACACACACGCTGCTTCTCTGCGGCTCTCAGCATAATGGAAAGCTTGTCCAGTAATAAATTGAATGGGATAGAAATAGAGAGATGGGAGAGGCTTTAAAACAGGAGGAAGAGACAGTCAAATCCTCTAACCTGTGCCCTCTGATCTTTAATCTGAGCATTTAGGCGGTAGTGGAAAGTAAATGTGAGGTATTTGTACTTTACTGAGTAATTCCACTTTATGCTACTTTATACTACTCACCAGCATAGCACAAAAATCTGGGCCCCATATGTGCAGCCTCAGCAAGGCGGGATTACCTGCTGGGCTAAGCGGGCAACTGTCAAGGGGCCGCAGACTCCTAGGAGTCCCAAAAGCTCCAGGTTTACACACCATCATTTGGCTCTACTTAATTTGATTAATCACTAACTTGTTAGAAATTTGCATCACTGAATTAGAATATCAACTCCACGATCTGTCTCATAGAAGCAATGTGTTAAAATTTAGTTTTAAGTCTTTAATTGTAGTGAAATCAACAATTAGTTTCATGATTGATACATCAGACAGTTATTTTCTTGAATAACTGATTTGATTGTTTAGTCTATAAAATGTGAGAAAACAGTGGAAGGTGCCCTCCATTATTCCCTGAAGAACAAGTTGACATATTGAAATTGCTTTGCTTTGTCTGATCAAGTCAAATATGTTCAGTTTAAATAGGCAGTTAAACAGTTGGTAAACAAACATTACCCAAGATGCTAGTTTTCTGACCCTGTTTCTCTTGATCTGGGTTTTTTCCAGGTCGAGTGTGAACAGTTTCCTAAGATAACTACAGACAGTGCTCCGGTTCACCACTAGTGGAGAATTTAAAATGAAAAGAGAAAACACAAGTGGTAGATAAAAACTACTTTTTTTTTTATTTGGAAGGAGTTTTCTGACCCTTCCAACATATTCCACGTTATATCAAATACAACACACATTATGGTCGCGCTCACAAAACATAAAATTTTTTCTTCCTTTTTTACATGTTATGTACATTTTTTTTAAACATTTTTTTTTACAGTAAGCTTATTTTGGTAAACATGAACATCCATTCATAATCACACATTTCAATGTGTCCATGCATCTACAGTCTGATATTGTAACACTACAATGTCATATATGTCACATTATAATTGTGTATGTACGTAAGTAAACATACATTTGCAGAGTACTGTATATATGTAAAGCACTGAGTATAAAAAACTGTTGTAGAAAAAGATTGAGGATGTGCTAGTGTTAGCTGGTATTCAACAGTGAGTTAACCTCATGACTGACATCCAGTAAGTTCTTCTTTGTGCTTCACTATTTTTCCTGGAATGTGTCGAGCTTGGACACAAACAACCGCAGAGAGAACATGTTGGAAAAAGACATTCAGATGTATTGCCATCAAGCTGCCAAGATATATTGCAATTTTCCATTTTGCATTATTACGATATGTTTTTTTTTTTTTTTTAAACATTAAAGAAACCAACAACAAACTGAATCAACACAGGCACTTAATGATCGCAACCTGTCACTTGGCACACGTATTAGATATATATGTAACAAGTGAAACACAGGTTTACTCTGAAACATGGTGACCACTTTAAAGCAGCTACAATTCAGGGGACAAACACACATCCAGCGCTACTGCACAATGAGGACTCATCACTTTCTGCATTTGAGAAAGCTGGAAGGGAAGAAGGCTCCTTCGCCATCACTTCCTGGCGAGCCGCATAGACTGTCTTCTCCGCAGCTCATGTCCTCACAGGAGTCCTCACTGCGAAAGAAGAGGAGGTCATTCATACACAATACTGCGCTTAAATGCAAAATCCACCCCATATAAACATGAACTATTGTCCTTCAGAGTTGCAAAACAAAAGGCCGCTGGTTTTGTATTCATCCTCCCATTCTGTATTCCCTTTTCAGTTCTTTGCTGATCAAACTAAAATGCTGATATGGTATGAATCAAAAAATATGTGGTATATATAAAAGTTTAACTGAGATTCTTAAAGATGATTAGCTGATCATTTCTCTGCAGAAGAGTCACCACTTTGTTAGTCCCTGTTGAACCACAGCAACACAATCTGCTGGCAGTGCTACAGTGGCGTTACAAATCATTTCTCTCACAAGCAATCTTTGTCTGAATACAGACAACAGCTGCAGCGAGCACAGTAACAGCCAAACCTTTCATTTTAATCTTTAGATTTAAAATGAATTAGCGTTAATTAGCTACAGCTGATGTAATCCGCTGCTGGTGATGTTTGTTCATTTAACCAGCACCAGCCACAGTCAGCTTATAATAAGAAGCTGCTACCTTTATGTTTTTCTTTGTTCTTGGTTAATAAAAAAAGAAAGAGTGCGGAAAAATGTAATATTTGATAAGAGGTTGAAGCCTATCAAATCTGGGTATTTTGCTGTCTGGGAACCAAATCAAAAAAAAAAAAAAATCAAACCAGCTTTTGGAAACCATCCCTGGTTGTTGACTGTAAAAAAAAAAAAAAAGACAGATAGAATAAAATGAAAAAACTGGACTATTAACCTCTCACTCTCATTCCAGGTCCCCTCAGGAATAGTTGGCAGACCCGGGACACTGAAGTGATTGGCCTGGAGATTCTGTGCCGTTCTCCTGGACACAATCCAAACCAGCTTTTTGTTGTCTGGTTTGCTACATTCGCTCGAGCGGTACTCTGTCATGCACTTGGCCACAAGTTCCTTCCAGTGGAGCAGCTCGCTGTCACTGATCTGTGAAAACGACAAACAGGAAACAACTGAGACACTGCAGTCTCAAAATACACTATCATCAACAAGTCTAGTGCTGTATTTTTCCACATACAACCTTTGCACATGGACAGGCAGTGAGACCATCATGCCACATTGCATAATTTCAACATAAGCATTTATGATACAAGGCAAAGAAATGTAAAAAATCCTGAAACTGAAGAAGTCAAGAATGAGAACTTTAGCATATAAACCACATAAGAGACTTAAATGCTGCTCAACATGGTATTCTGCCATTGCTTGAAGTGAGAAGTGTAGTAGTAGTGTTAAAATGTGGTGAATTATAGACTCTCAGTCTGAAAACAGTGGACAAAAAAAATTCCAGAGAAATATCATGCTTATTTATCAAGAATAAAATTAATACAATTTAGAAGAAATTTAACATCAGACACAATGGGGAACATGACACAAGAGCTGAAAAAATTAGTCCATTCATTGATAGTAAATATATTTCTTCTAGTCTTCTATGATCTACATCTTTCCGTTTTGGACAATTTGTTGGACAAAACAAGATATTTGAAGACATTATCATAGTGTCTAATAACCTGTGATAGTCATTCCTCCCCTTTTTTTATACCTTTAGATATCTTTGGAATTGCTGGACAATCTTCAACAAGGTGATGGACTGGAGAGCTTCAAACTCTTGAGCAATGAGTGACAGTGCCAGCACTGATGGCTGTGATGGAGAAAAACAGCAGATTAATAAGTACCGGGACTTAATATGAATGCTGCTATGCTGAGAAATTGTCGCCTGTGAGCAATTCTTACTTTGGCTTTAGAGAAAACAAGCCGGCATAAGCAGGCTTTTAGCTGGGCTTCCAGTCTCCCAATGCTTGGGATCTCCTCCCTTAAAATATAGAGGGAATCCTAATGTGATCCTTCTAGTATAAACCTCATGCCAAGCAGAATCGATTTGACCAATGCATCACACACATACACAAAAGTAAGTCAAAGAAAATGAAACATTTACCTTCCAGCAGACAGGGATGTAAAGGCTGAGTAGTAGAGGTGTAGAAAGGTTAAGGCTGTCACTGCTTCAGGCTCCACACTGAGCTTCTCTGAGATGATCTTCTCCATGCGACAGAGGTCTGACACAGTGAACTTGCTTTGGCTGATGCGAATGAGTTCATGGGTGGGTGAGACATTGCTTTCTTCCTCAACCATTTTGGCTGCAATATGAAGACAGCAGACTCCAATACAGGGCAAGTGTTTGGGCTGCACCTGTCACATTAACACAACAGTGATAAGTGTGAGTCAACATCTCATGATTCAAGGTCAAACAAGGTTGTTGTTGTTGTTGTGGCAATGGTGTGGGAACGTGATATAAAACATGCAAAGTATGTAGACTGAGTTTACAAAACAATGTACAGGTTCATTTTGGAACTTGACAAAATATTTTACACTTAAGTTCTTTATTAAGTTCAAACCTTCATAATGGTGAGGAATCGGTCAAGCAAATTGACAGCTTGAACAAATGTTTGGGTGCTGTAGCCAAAGAAACTGGTCAGGCCCCACAGCTCCTCAGCTCTGATGTCCCTGCATTTCGCAGACACTCCACTGTGTTTCTGAAAATGGACCATTACATATTAAATGTACATAAGTGGAGCAAACCCATATGCCTGCACAGACAGCCAAAAATTTAAAAGTAGGTCAATGGGTTACCTCTGTGGAAGCCGACTCCATCAGCTTCAGACCAGTCTCTCTGGGAAGAAAGTTGTACTCTTTAGCACAACATGACTTCAGCTCTTTCAACAGCAAGCTGTCAACAGCTTGAAGATCCCTCATCCTGGAAAAAAACATGTTTCAATGGTTCTGCATTGTGATCCAAGACAAAATCCACAACAACTGTCTCCCTACATTATAGAGTGAGGGGATGAGAGCATATAAATATGGTCTCGAAAACCCCACCTACTGGGTGTCATGTATCCTTTGAAAACTCCCCCACCTCTCTCCGTCCCCACACACACACACACACACACACACACACACACACACACACACACACACACACACACACACACATAAACCGCCCAAAAACCTATAAACTGATCAATGCGAATAATAGCAAAAAAGCAAAGGCAAAAGTAGTTAAACGCCATTAAAATCACATTCAATCGTGGCATTAGTTTATGCTGAATGAAAATATGTACTGAGCAACAGAAACAGAAACTAGGTCAGGTAATCAATCATAGCATAAACACCCATATTTCAGAAGAGGTTGAATTAATAGACTCGGATTTTTAAACTTACTTCGGCTCTGTGGAAAAATAAAATCCAGTAATACCAAAAAGTTAAAGGCTTCACAAACACAAATAACGACAATGTTAGCTAACTTAGCTATCCTGCTAGCGTAAACCAACAAACCGTCGTCTTACCTCGCCCAGAAGCCGCCGACGTGCAGGATAATAAAAGTGCTGCGACTTAATTACACCTCTCAGTTCTTCATGTTTCCATTTTTGATAACAATGAGGGGCGGTAAATGTTAAAAACAAGATCCTTGATCCCCGCAGAAAAGATGATCCGCCCAGAATAAACAAACAACTGCTGACCTGGTTGTAGACTACATTGACCATCATGCACCACTGGAAATGCTTTGTCTTGCGTGGTTGCGTCACAATAGTGTAACAAAAAGCGGGTGTTGACCGGTGTTCAAACTATCGTCGTTATCGTTACCTTTTCAATCAATTTCATGTTATAGAACCATGTAACGTTTAATTTTACGACAAACGAAGCCAGTCTGACAATGTTATCAAGCTGTTACCACCATCGAATGCATCGAATCAAGGCTAGCCAGGAATTAGCAACGGGAAGCTGTTTCCATGGTGATGAAACTAGCTAGCTGTTTATGTTATTTTAGAAAGTGGTTGCGGTTATTTTATATAGCCTAGCTTGTAAATATTTATATCAATGGCTTTGTTGCTAAAGTGAATACAGATGTCGGGGTTTCAGCCCTCTGAGCCTCAGAGTTTGGGGCTTTCCAGCAATAATGGCGCTCACGTTTTACATTTTGAATCTCTACCGAACCATATAAAACTAACACAAGCTGCAGCGGGAACAACGGGTAAGCTAACTTAGATTTAAGTTAAGGAAATCATGTTTTCGCTTTCTGTGCAGGTTTTTAAGTAACTGTTAAGTCTGTCAACAAGTCATCTGTTAACCTTTTTTAGAGACTCATGACACCTCGCTTCGGCTGAGATTCAAAAGTCTTACACTGGATGAACTACCCATTTCATGCAGACATCACAAAACATTTAACATAAAATAGATAATGGAAGCTTAAAAGCTAAACAATAAAACACAGTCCAAACCAAAAAAAAGTCAACATCAAAACTCCTGAATACAAAAATAACACATTTATGATTCAAGTAAAATTTCCTGTATAACCTTTCTTGACATTTCTTGACAGTGAGGAGCTTGACAGACGAACCAAGGAAACCCAAAGACTTCAAGAAGAGGTGGAAAATGCAACCAAAGTAGCTTTGGAGAGGTTTTGCTGCACATATGGTATCAATAGCTCACCTGGACAAAGCTGCCACAACCACAGTGAGTACAAGAAGTGTCACCCAAAATGTTTATGTAGCAGGAGCCAGACAGATGAAAGTAAGGGCTTATTTATTTTTATTTTTTCACAACATCCACATGTAACTCACCTGAGTGTTACATGTAAAAGTGAAGGTTCATATCAGTTATCTAGGTGATTTCATTTAAGACAACACTGAATCTAAATCACTGGACTTGATATCCAGATGTGTAGGGGAGAAACACTTTGGAAAGCAAAATGTTTTAAGAAGAAATCAATATAGGCAAAAGCCCAGTAACTGTTAAATGAACACATGTTTCACCAACCCTTAACTTTGACAACATGGACAGTGTACTGTATATTTTAAAGTTCTTGTGCTCTTTTGGTAGATGACCCACCTGGGGAGTTCACCATCCTTCCAACCCACCATCAGGCAGTGACTCCGCCTCTTGTCTGTGGTGTGGAAAATTTAAACCAGGAGGTGTCCCAAAGGCAAATCAGCTCTCCTGAAAAGGAGGTGTTGGAAAATGCAATAGATGACTGTCTTCAACAGCTGTCTGACTTGCAGCTCAGCAAGGTTCATACTTGACTCTTCCATGAATCTTCTCAGTTTGATGCTGTCTGAATGACTGAATACTTTGTCTTTATAATTTATTATTTTCTCATACACAGACACAGGATCAACATGAACAAGAGACATTCAATTTTGACAAAGCCATCATGAATCTGCAGACTAAGCTGCATAAAGTCCAAATGGAAAAGGATGTCCTGTCTGACCTCAGGTGAACACAGTGATGCAATTTTACTTCAGTAAAGAAAGTTTTAAAATCTTTTTGACCCACAGATCTTTTTATTTGTAGAGTGAAGGATTCGAGGAAACACGTTGATCAGATGGAAAAGATGCTGTGCATGTTGGAAGAGCTCCAAAACATCAAAAGGGCCGCGGACCAAAAGCTACAGGAGACAGAGGACGAGGCAATGGCGCTTAACAGGAAAGTAGAGACATTGGAACAGATTATGAAGGAGACGTACTCTTCTCTGTTATCACATGATAAACAATGTGGAAACAGCTCCATTACAAGTCCTAACGTCGCCACTGGTTCAAGACAGCTGTCCCCAGCTGCCAAGTTAACTGAGGATTTTAACAAAGAGACACAGAAGCTACAGGAGAGACCTTTTTTGGTAAGTACTAGATGTCAGTTACAGATGATGTTCACTGTGACTGTACTTGAGACTTTTCCTCCCATTGTGTCTGATTTTTTTTTTTCATCTGTTTTATGGCAGTCAATAGATCATCCGGGGAGTGAAGAATGCAGTGGAGTAAATAAGCAAAAACAAAGGTAATTTAATGTAGAGCTGCAGTGATTAGTTGATTAATCATTTAGTCAATTAGCAGAAAATGTGAAATCTATTTTGATAATAAATAAATACATTTTGTCACTTTTGTCAACATTTAAGCCAAGTATTCTCAGATTTTCACTTAATAAATGTGAGGATATGGTCATTTCTTTGTCATTTATGACAGCAATACAAACATGTTTCGGTTTTGGGCTGCTTGTGGGATAAAACAAGGAATTTGAACACCTGAGTGCACTGGATTGGTGAAGTTCATTGCTTAAAGAAGGATGTGAAAGTGCAGGCAGAAAATGTTTTTTGTTAACAGACCACAACAATAAGCATACTCACAGCTGAATTAAATTATTAGTTTTAGTAATAAAATAGTCATTGACCATAGTGCAGGTTATTTCAAATTTCCCCACTGTGGGACTAATAACGGAATATCGCCACTAGAGCTACCATACCTACCTGTTCCATATTGAATTATGGTGTTTTACTTTTGTTTTCCTTCCAACTAAGAAAACAAACAGAAAATATGCCTAAAGTATCAAAAAGTATGTTGCCTTCCATACCAGTGTTGTTAAGCACTCTTCATGTTTCTGTCTTAGAATGAAAGACTTGATTGCAAGTCTTGACCAGGAGATGGCACTGTTGACTGACAAACTGAACTCATCAAGATACAACAGTGTCAGCTTAAGTGTCAAGCTGGAGCTGTTAAAGTAAGTGCTGTTCCCAAAACATGTCAGGCCTGTTTGTTCTGAGAGGAGTTTTCAGTCTAAGGCTTTCTGACTTAAAAGTTCAGACAATGTTGAATTTCTGAATTCATGTATTCATGTATTCGTCAAAACATATCATTTCTATGCCCAGGAAACTTGCAGAGAGACAGACGTCGTTGCACCAGTGTCAAGTCAGTGAACTTGAGTCAACCCTTTCCAGCCATAGAGATAAGGTAAGGAATAATCTACCATAATATTATGAGGAGCAATGTAAGCTACAATTTACTGAGGCTGTTAAATGTAAATATTAACCAGCCATACTTATCTGCTTCACTAGATGTTTAGATCAGTATGACCAAAGTGATTTGAGGATAAGACAAACAGCCACCATGTGAACTCACCACGTTTGTGCTGGTGTTTACTTCTAATTATTATTATAAATGTAATGAATGTAGTGAAGCAACACTGGTGGAACTCCTGTCCTGTCAAGAAAATGAGGATTCGTCCTATGTCAGAATGAGAACTAAAATAATTTTTTATTTGGTTTGCGAATGTCATTTGTGAAATTATAGGTTTGCTGTCTGGAGCAGCAGCTCCTTCAGGTTCAGTCTCAGCTGGTGGATGCCCAAAGAGAGAGAGAGCGATCTTTACAACAGGCAGAGGAGTTTCAGTCCCAGCTTGGCCAACTCAAGGTGCTGCAGGAAACCATGAATATGAAACCAGGATTTTGTCTCTTTCTTTTGTTACTATACCTAAAATCCTCATATAGATGCATGTTTACATGAAAGACCACAGTTAAAAGTGGAAACTGAAGTGTCAGGTTATTGGCACTGCAGGCAAATGGATCTCAACACATACCCAGTAAAGACACAGAAACCTATTGGAGTAAATTAGAAGCTGTAGTTACTTGTTGATCACTCAGTCCATTAAAAATTTAAGCTTTTCATGTCCTTGTTCTTAAGTCCAAGGAGCATGTTCATTTTGGTGAACATACTACAATGCTTCCATCTCCATGTGAACATGTAAATTGAGGTGTAACTGCTCAGAAGGGTTTCCTCAAACGCAGGACATGTTTTATCAGTCATCTATTGAAAAATAACACAAGATGAAATGTCAAGCCAGTTTCTCTCCCATCATTGAGATCATATTTCTACACAATGTCAAAAGATTTATTATTTTTTTGTCCTTTTTAAATACAATCTCTGCCTCCTGCTTTATCCTCCAGAGGTGCGGTGAGCAGCAGCAGTGTGAGCTTCAGGTGGAGGTAAAGGCCCTGAGAGGACGGGTGGAAGAGGCCAGGGAGCAGCTTCGCAGAAGTGGGGAGGAGAAAAATTGCCTACAGACCCTGCTGGATCAGAGGGCCCAGGAGGGGAGGAAATCCCAGGAACTCCTGCGGGAGAAAGACAAAGAGCTCCAGCTCAAGCAGCAAGAAGCTCAGCAGGTAAGAGATCATGTATTTCTGTACACGACATGGGTTTTTAGATTAAAAAACCATGATCCGGTGATATCTGTCTGTTTTGATGGCTCACTGAATTAAAGCTAAACTGATTTTTCCAGCATCTGTCCTGGTTGGAAGAAGCTCAGAGCCGGTGCCAGACCCTGCACGTAGAAGGAGAGACACTGAAGCTGAAGCTTGATGACCGAGAGAAGCTGACAGCTATGCTACTTTTACAGATGGAGAGCAGCGTCCAGATGCACAGCCGCACCATCGACAACCTTCACCAAGAGAACAGTCTCCTCAGCAACCAGCTAAACCAGCAGAAGCTGGAGATTCAGCAGCTCGGGGTCAGGAACAAAATTATGATGACAGACTAGATTCCTGAAGTTACTTTCCCTTATCAATTCATTGAATTTATAATTTCTCTTCTTCCCATTGACTTTCATATGCCACATACTTTTCTACATCAACACTAACTTTACTTTCTTTTGAAAATCGTTCTTTCTTCCTCCCTCTTGTGCCATATACTGATCAGGCTGAGTTAGACCAGAACAAGTCAGACCTGGCTACTGCAGAGCACGAGAGGCGGCAGCTACAGGCGTCTGTGGCTGAACAAAGTCAGCGTGTCCAGGAGGAAACTCTGGAGAAACAGCAGCTCACCACCCAGATGGAGATCCAGCGTATCCAGTTACTCAGACTCACTAGTGAGTTGAGCTTTGCTGAATCTGTATTACCTTTGAAGGGGCAGAACTTTTCATCACTTGTCTACTTTATCAAAGTAAAGAAGTCTTAGCCCAACAGGTGAAATCAGGTGAAAGTGCTCTTTAATATCAGTTTTACGTGGGGGAAACAGTTTACATGCAAGTTCTCAAGTCAAATGTGCCTTTTGGCAAAGATGCAAAACACCAAAACAGACAGTTACCCAATAGTTAACACAATAAGTGTAATTGCTTACATAAATGTCAGATTTATTTCATTCCTAACTTGGACAACAGGTGATGCAGTGAAGTCCACACAAGAGCAAAACACATCCATAACATCAGAATATAATATTTCTCTCACAACTTATAGGAGACCAAGATTCATCATGTAACTCAAACTATGGTTAGGAAAACAAACTCACTATATTTTCCTCATTGAAATTATAAATAGTTTTATATCTCTAGTTGTTAACATGACCTCATGGGATTAGTCAGACACATTAATCGTCTAACCACACATTCTGATGTGTATACATTTATACACTAGTTCATGTCAGTTAACACTTTATATGTTTTGAATTGATAATATATAATCTGCAATCAACTTGATGTATGAAGCTTTCATCTGTCTGTAACTTTTTTCTCACCTCCTATTCCATGCTTTGGAAATATATTCAGAAAACATTAAAACATTGTCCAAAATATGTTCAATTAAAGCTCCATCCTCAGCTCTAATCAAATCTGAATCTGGAACATTTAAAGCCAAAAAACATATTTGTCTTATTCGTCTTATTTGTCACAAACAAAGAAACCAACAAACCCATACTGTTCTAAATTTCTGAAAATTGTGCAATCATGTAAAATCCTATTAGTCATGGTATAGTCAGCTTTCAGTTTGTGTCAAACAATGATATGAAGGACACGAGAATGAAATTAATTTGTTTTCTGCCTTGTTCTCATACATAGTAAAATACTCATGTGTTTATTAATTACCATGTAATATAGTATTCCATATTGACTTATTGTATGAAGTCAAGTAAACCCCACTGGTCTTCAGGATTTTTGTTACCTCTGAACAGCAGATTAGCATAACCAGGGCCTTTCATGCACCAGGAATTCTGGCTCCCTCTGCAACGCTGTTTCTAGAAAAAGTTCAGCTCTCACAGTTTTTTGCCAAATCAAATGATCTTCTTGTCCTGCTGTGTTAGAAATACAAAGAGCCATGTTTGGTATGTTTACATTGTCAACCAAGCCCTTCCATTGTTGCCCGTGTTTGCTTAGTTGCTAAAGTGTATGTCTCACTGTGGATATAATTCATGTGTTTGTGTGGGCATGATTTCAGAGGAGCACAAGGAACTGCAACGGCTACACAGCTGTAAGAATGAGGAGCAGGAGGGTGTGGTGCTGAGGCTCCAGAGTCAGCTAAGGAACGCCCATGATGAGCTGGACCAGGTCAGGAGCACCCTTAGGACCCTGGAAGGAGCCGATGGACATGGTTAGATCCACGTCATTATTTAAACTGAGACTTAATTAAAAGCTCTCATGTCCAAAGAAACATCAGACAACATTCCTCTGATTTGCATCCAATCTGCTTTGAAGTGGAACGATATCAGTGATTTACTTTGGATCCTAATGAAATCAAGGAATGTTGACAATGTCTTGCACAAAAAATTATTAGTGTAGTTCAATGAAACTGCAAATATACATCATCCTCAGCTGCATTTCAGTCTGAGATACAAGCTGACATGTAGAAAGCCCAAGATTAAAGCTCTGTGATATATGCTCCTGATGTCTCGTGTGTGTTGCTCTTTCTATCCTCTTTGTGTCTCTGTGTCCATTTGTCTTGTGGATTTGTGTCCACCTCAGGCCTCCAAGTGGCCATGGACATGCAGAAGGAGATCACTGCTAGAAGGGAGCAGGTCGACTCTCTGCAGGGCAAAATCCAACACCTAGAGGAGGCTGTGGAGAAGCTGTACCAGGTGAAGAACTTAATGTACCAGTCACAGTCAAGTTCATTCACTTGCTTCTCTCATGTTAAAGTTAAATACATTTTACACTGACATTTGCTTCACGTCTCTTGTTCTCACTGTCCAGGAGAAGCGTTATCAGAGCCTGGAGAGCCACCGTCAGATCCAGGAGCTCACCTTCGTCAGGGAGGAGAAAAAACAACTTGCCAGTGAGCTGGAGGCCCTTCGTTCCAAAGACCAACAATTAAGGGACCGGATTGGCCAGCTGGAGACAATCCTTCATAAGGTGGTGCTCATTTACCCTTTTACACCTTTATTTCAAACAGCATATGGCTTTTAAAGAAAGTAGAGAAGAGTTTCTGGTCAGAGTAGTACACACACACACACACACATTTGTATGAAAGTTTATTTAAACTTTCTAAGGAGAAAGGATATGAATTTGTACTAAAATGTATTTTGTTTTAAAAAGTACATGCTCATGGTCCCCTGGTGGCCTTGAGGGTCAAGTGCAGACCATGAACTACAACGTCCCTGGTTCACACCCGTTTGCGGTTTATTTTCCATCTCTCTCGCCTGTCTCAGTCTTCTGCCCGTTACATGCTGTCTAATAAAAGCATGAAAATGCTAAAAAAAAAATGGTTTTAAAAGGTCTTAAAGGAAACAGTTTGGTGATGTGCAAATGCTGTACAACAGAAATACCGACATTATCTCAATAACTTTTTACTATCAATAACTTGTTTTATTATAATTGTATATTGTAAGTGTCTATGTCACTTTTTTCCTAAACAGCTATTATCAAAACAGACAATTCAAGTGTATATATTTAGGTTAAAAAGAATGACCTTATCAGCCCTACCTGCCTCTGTTTGTCACCATCACTGTGTTATTTTTTCAAATACATTTGTATCTTCCCAAAGATGACAGAAAGCTTCGCAGGCTGCCAAGATTTCATCCAGCTGCAGGAGCAGGAGTTTTATCGTCTGAAACTCCAACATGCCCTTGACCTGAAGGTAGAGCTGATTACATTCTAAAAGTCTCTTTGTCTAAGGGAATAAGGGTTAATCCACTTTGTACACAATATTCCTTATGTATGTAAAAGTACATCCATATTTTATTTAGATGCTTCATGCTAAGCTTCTCTTGCATGTTTGATAGTAATGCCTTAGTCAAGTCATGTTTATGCTGACTTTCATCAAGAGAACTTGATGAAACACCCTTTAACAAACAAAGTTATAACCAATTTCTCCTTTTCTGTAGGAACTCCAAGGTCAAAACCTGCGCGCAGCTCTGAATGTACCTCCACCAGACCTGGACTCCCCGACTCCAGCAGCAATCACTACTCCACCCTCTTCCCAGCATGCCTTCAACACTCAGATCAAGGTGCAGTCAGAAACTCCCTATATCTTGCTTATCTCCTACAGTTCCAGCTCATCAAGTGCATGTGTGAATCGTTGTTTATTTGGCAGCTCAGACACAAGCTCAGCACATCTGCTCGGCCTTTAAATCAAAAACACACACACAGCGTTACATTCCTGTGGTACGGAGAGAAACCAGAGTGTAAATATTTCAACACAGCAGTGAAATACTGTTTGGTATGTTTTGTCTTATAGTATCATACTGCAATTTTATGTGCGTTTGCTGACTTCAAGCATGATAAAAGAACCTGTGAGATTGTCATGCATGCCCTGGTTTCTCTGTTCAGATGCATGCTAATCAAACAAACTATTTATAATATTGACATCACCACAGCACTGCACTGACATCGCCTTTCTCTCCTCTCTCCTCCTTTGGCTGCTGAAGTCAAAGAGGCAGCAGGAGAGCCCCGCCCGGGAGCTCAGGTCTCTTGTCAGAGAGCTGCGAGGAGTGATTTCAGAGAACCACAGACCACACACTGATAACAGCGCCGCTGGCAGCTGCTTCCACAGGAGGAGGTCTGCACCGGAGAGAGTGCACAGAACCACATTGTACGTCTGGCTCCATTCCCACACAGTGCAAGGATTAACTTCGTTCTGAGGCTAGCTTAGGTCACATCTGACAATCATGTGATGCTGCTAAGTGAGCAGGAAGCTGCTGGAGTGGAGGAGGAGGGAGGATCTATACATGAGTGGTTTCATTGACCACACTGTTGCTGTAATATACCGTAAAAAGAAGAGACAAGCTGTTCACCTCGTATACTTAAAAACTCCCAAGTGTCTTATCTATGTATCTGTTATGGACTCATGGAATGTGATATGTTCTTGTATCTTCTATGTCTCACTTTAAATTTTAATATTCCCCAGCACTTCCAGCAGCACCGACAAGGCTGAAGACGTAAAAACTGGCTCCAGATTGAGAACAAAAACCTGTGGGAGGTAGGGAGAGCGGCCAAACCTAAATAGCTCAATGTAGCATCTTTTTTGTTTGAATGCTGTGAGCATGACGTGCCTCAAGGCTACGACATGGTCACACCATCTACCCATGTGACCTTTTACCCCCTCATATAACATGGAAGACACGGCAAAGTGCTGCAGGCTCTGTAATTGCGATGTAATGCGTGTCTGTTTGTTCATGCACTGTGTACAGCGAGCCACATTTCCTGACAACAGCTGAGCTGAACGGGAAAATAATCAACAACAAATCCTTCAGTGAGAGTGAGTTTTCATCACCAGCTTGTCATTTTCATGAAATCTGTCAAAAAGATGCCCTTTTCCCAAATGTATTCCAGTTTCTTGTTAATCCTTTCACATAACATTAGAGCTCCAACAACTAGTCAATTAATTGAACAGAAAATTTAATTTAATTAATCATTCAAGTTACTTTCTGAAGTTAAACTGGCAACTGTTAACTGGTCAAATATGAGGATTTCCTGTTTTTTTTGTCATTGAAAATAGATTTTATTTGAGATATAGATTGACTTTGAAAACAGCTAATTGAGGAAATTATCAGCAGATTAATCAATAATGAAATTAATCATTAGTTGAACTCTTACATAAAATAGACTCAATAAATACAACAAAACTGTGGACTTTTTCCAATATCAGTATTTAATTCTCTAACATTGAGATTATGATTTATCCAGGTCGTGTTATGTCGAGTCCAGAAGTGAAGTTCACATCCTCCCCAATGCTCATCTCACTGGGACGCAGGTCACCCGTCCACTCTCTCCTGACATCCGACCCAAACAGCTAAGACTAGCACGACTCATCACAACAGACCTGAGGCTGGCTCCTCGTTGCAGTAAGTTGTTGATATTGTACATCTTATATACACAGTTTATCATATCAATACGAACACTGTGTGATAGATTGTGTTTGAGCACACTTCAGATTTATTCAAGTAAACATTTAGATTAGTCTGTGGTAGAAAAAAAATATGGAACATAATTAGAAGAGATTTTAGTTAACAAGAGCCACAGGCTGAGTCATTTGTGGGGTTTTTTCTCATGATACTGTATCAGTTCAGTGTCTGTTTCAAAGACTGAGATGGCAATTTCACACTGTGTTAGTGTGAAGGGAAAGCTGGACAACATCCACACAGAAGTCAAATACTGACAGTTGATCGATAACAGATGATAAATCAGACAGACATTTTGTCAGATTGATTATTTCATCCACTGTAGCGCTGCAAGAAATGTCATAACACACAGTCTGAGGAGTCAGGAGGATGTATTGAGGCAACTGAAATCAATTGCAACAAGAGGCATTTCCTGTTAAATTTGCCCTGCAGCAGCTCACAGACCTCATCATTTACATAAAAATATCAAGATGTTAAATAGATCATAATCTGTGTAATCTCCGACCTCAGAATAAATTTAATTACTTAATTTTTTTTGTCTTACAGAAAGCTAATTTTTGAAAGGCTCACCAGATGAAGTTGGATGTCAAAAAAGGTTTTATAGAAATCCACTATTAGCTGAATTGTCATAATTTATTGTCTAATTAAAGTGTTTTTATCTTAAAAAAAAGAAGTGTTTGATCAGTTATTTAAGGTCTGGAATGTTATCAAATAAAATATAAAGTCTCTATAGTCTAGGTTCATACACATACACACTGTGTGGAAATACAATGAAAGCCACTAGAAACCAGAGTCAAATTCCTTGTATGTGTAATTATCCTTTGTTAGTAAAACTGATTCTGATTCTGCCAGTGCAACAGGCAGTCAGGGTATCTGCTGGTCTCAAAAATTTTAAAAAGCTTTGAATTCAGTTCCCTCAAACAGAAAACTTTAGAAGGTATCCAAAAGTCTTAATAAAGCTTAAGTCTCTTTATTTACAAAGGTCTGGAACATTTTTTTTCTTGCCGGCTATAAGCAGTGATGTTAGTTATAAGGTGTTTTTGTATCAGATTGCAGCCTTTTGGGAGACTTTATATATAAACTAAAAATGGTATTTATATTGACAGTGAATTGTGCTGGAGGAGGGTGTTAAGTCCTTTTTTTTTTTTTTTTTAGCAAATTCTGTCATGAGCTCATCAACTCATAATGAATAAAAGAAGGTCAACAAAGGAAGTGTCAATTTTAAGTAATTATTATTTAATTGGTTAATCCATACATCATTTTTTGTTGCTTATCTGAGCCAAGGTCACGTTATTTGACTAGCTGTATTAGGATTTACTGTTATATACAGTAGAATAGACAGGACAAATAGTTGGCGCTAATACAACATGCGGTTCAGGGTAATATCTGCCCCCTTTGCTGATACAGTAGTTAAATGTCTCCCTTATGCACTCAGAAAGACCCACCCCTCTTTTATTGAAATGATTCAGATAGAACAATGAAAAAAAGGGATGTATTTTAGATTAACTTCTCTTTATTTTCTCTTCTGTTTTTCTGTTTCTTTTTTTAGGTCATTTCCTTTATGCAAATGCTCTGAACACATATGCTTTTTTTTTAAGACTGCCTCTAAATATATAGTCTCGAATTGTTTCCCTGATCATGCTTAGTCCATTGTGGATTACATAACTCCTGACAGCTTCGGTTACATACTGTACATTTGTTTTATCTCCTCATCTTGTCATCAAACCAGCTGTCCCCCATTTTTAATAGACAGTGAAGGGGATATGGATTTTTGTGGCAGGTGGTAGTCCTCATCTTATCACTTGTTTGGATTTTAAAATCCAGCTCCTTGAACATGTTGCCTGTGTCTTGAAGTCATCTGTGCCAGTTTTCTTCCAGGTTTTGGGATTCAGTTACCAGGCTCTTTGCTGTACATGTTTCTGGATTTTTCTCATCAGCAGTCATCAAAAGTGATATTTTACTTCTATTTGTGTGCTTAATATTTTGTAAACTTTACTCTTTCTGTACTATATTTGGCTCAAAGGCTTTAGAAATGTAACTGTCCTCCCTGTATGTGGCTTTGACAAGGTTTTAGTCTTGAACTCAGAAACAGTTGGCGTTCTCCACTTAAATGGGAAAGGTGGTTGATGAAGAGTGTTGAAGTATGGGACATTCAGGAACATTGATCTCTTCATCCTGCAAGAGTCAAACATAAATCCCTTGTATCATCATTTTGATATTATGTTAGCTCTTGTCTAAGGTTGGACAAACAGTACTGTAGCATCTATGTAGTCTAGTGTCTCAAACTTGCTCTTACCGGAGAAACAAACCATCTGCTGAAAAGTTTGGTGGCTACTTTCATGTTTTCATGGTTGCTCAGTTGATTCACTTTGACCTTCTGACCTTTCTTGATACCGTTTCCATTCATTTGTAGTATATATGGGTTTCCAGGACTTGGGATTTGGACGTCAGAGCTGCTGTAAAATGATTTAGAAGTGATGTGTATATTACAAGCAGAATCCTGAATTCGTTTGTTTATTTTCCATAGTCAGGTATATCTAATTGAATAATAGATCAAAGTGGTTTATATAAATACTACCAATCTAATTTTCAGTATACTTGCATTTTATTGGCAGATTTTCCTTGTTTGGCTCTGCTTATGTCCTCCTTACTTGGCTCTTTACAGTGTTCCTCTTCTTCCTCCTCTGCATGGTGTGTTGTAGGCGTAGGAAGTGAAGAGGTGCTGTTTACGCACATGTCTGGGTCCAAAATGGATACCACCTTATCAAATAACTGGAAAGAAAAGATTAAGTCATGTAAATATATTTTAACAGGGAATAAATGTATTATGCTTCGTTCAGGCCTCATTCACTCTCTGTCTACGCTCAACTTTTAATACAGGCCTCGTTTTTCTAGCACATAAGATCTTAGTAGTCCAGACTGCTGTCATCTCCACTTACCTCTGCGGTCATGTGATCCTTATAGTGCGGGTACATAGCTAAAGGATGCTGTTTGATGTTTCCCTCCACAGAGGCCACATATTCTCTGCGAATCTGTTTTCGGATCATCTGCTTTGAGAAGCACGCATGCTCTTTAGGGATGCTCTTTCTAGGCTTTTGAGTGGAACTGTGGTTTGAAGTGTCATGGAAAATAACCGGTGAGACACCTCTCCGGGCCTCAGATAAGACTGAAGAGCAATCATCGAGGTTCACATTTACAAAACCCCAACTACTGCTGACCAATGAAATCTTGTTTGTTGGGGCTTTAAGATACTTGGTCTGCAACCTCTCCTTGTACCTGCAGATTAAAAAAAAAAGTTTTACTAATCTATATAAAGCACATGTTTGAATATGACTTGAACTTTGTGATACAATACAGGTTAAGGATAATGATAAACAAGGACACTTTATAAACAAACAGTAGAATGTATTCATTATAGCTTCGCCTCGGGAATACTATACCAGACACAGGATAGCAGACAATGTAATAAAGTCACTGTGTAGTGGCTGCTGCGCGCCACAGTTATAGTGTCCGTTAAAATCATGTGTCTCCATCAGTCACAAAGACTGTGTTCCACAATATACAATATACCTCAACAATTACAATTCAACTTGAGATACAGATATAATGTAAAACTTGCAAACAGAGCAACTAAAAAATTGAGTCAGCTATCTCAGCAGTGTGTGTTCATAGTGTGTGTATAAACTGACAAATGTATATAAAGGACAAAAGTTGAAAACAGAGGAAGGAATCACATGAATGGTTTCATTTTGTCATTCTGGTATATCTGGTTGCAAAAGGTTTTATTTCTCCTCATCCACAAAGTTGATTTTGAAAGGTTGACGTGGAAAAGTAGCACTTTCAATTTTAGTGTGTGCAGACGTTTAGTGTTCTTTTTTCATGTTTGCGCAGGAAATGCACCCTGGGTTTCACCCCATGCACACTGCTGTCTGAGTTGCCTTTATGTCTGACTTTATGTTTTGCCAGTTGGACACTCTGTACTGACTGATCTGTACTTAGTAAAGATCAGTCACTGCGTCATGTCTCTGTAAAAAAGAAGATGATAAGATATGTTAAATTCCCTGTGGAGCACCTGATAATAATGATAATACTATATACTAATACTTTGATCTGTTGTCTCTTCTCTTGTGTCTTGCTTATTAATTGGGTTTATTCTGTTGGTATCCAATAGTTGTGTTTGGACTTTATGAGAACATTTTCCTTCTTGAACACTGTCATCCATCAATTTCCAAGTTTTGGTAAGCGAAGCCCACTGTAGTTCAAAGTTATATCATATTCTGTAGAATAAGTAAAGTTTGAAGTGAGGTCAAGTGTCACTTTCTTCCTAAGAGAAACTAAAATAGTCTTCTGCACTTCCCTTTTACATGTTTCTGCCTGATTAAGTTACAGCTGGCAATAAAAGGCTGCTATTGTTTGAACTTTATAAGCTTCACAAAATAGTATTAATTGTAGACCTACTGTACTAGCCACAAACCATTTTCAAGTTTTGTTTTGGTGGGGAGAGTTTCTCTTGTCTATATGTTGGATCCAACATCTGAACAAGTTCTCAAAAAGGCATATAAGATTATCAACGACCCCACATGTCCTCTAAGAATACTTTAAGCTAATACACTCAGGAATGTGTTTTAGATTGCCTCTATGCCATTAGACTTGTGAACAGCCACATAAGTAATAGAAATGGTCAGTTCGCCTTGTGTATGGACTGATAAATGCACTTGCATTATTTATTTATTTATTTTTTGACATAATATGTGCCTTTATGGTGGTGGATGTTGTTGGTCAGTTATGGAATGGCCATTACCATTAATCTCAACTCTTTCTCAGATTGTCTTATGTGTATTTCTATGTGTACAAATGAATTGTCTACTGTTGTTTCCAGACTGGCTTGCCTCAAATTGCCAAAAAAGTATTTTAAATTGAATTGAATTGACCCCATAAACTCACCCTTCAATTTCCCTCAGTTTCTTCAAATCATTTGATAACATTTCTCCAACAATTCCCAGATTCCCTCAAGTCTTTTGATCTCACCTGAATTTAAAATAAAGTTCACAGGGTTGAATAACATTCGTCCAAAGACTTAACCAGCAGTGGGTGTAACAGATTTTAAGATTTAAATTATTTTATGCATGAATTTGATGAAGTAGCTTTTGTTTATCCAAAAAACCTATCAATTGATTTTTACAGCAGATAATAATATAATGATATAAAATTACATATTCCCTGATAGAAGATTTTATCCATATTGACCAATCCTACTTCAGTAATCTAAATTTTGTTTGATAGTGCTTGTGGTTTTATACAACTGCAATAATTAGCGGATTAGTCGATTGACAGAAAAATAAGCGGCAACTATTTTAGAAATTGATTAATCATTTTTCAAACAAAAACAATGAAATGATGCCAAATATTCCCAGATTTTAAATTATTTGCTACTTTTTTGGGGTACATACATATACATACAGTATATCAATATAATAAATATTTTGGGGTTTTTGGTCGAACAAAACAAGACATTTGAAGATGTCACACAAGATTTCACATACTACATCAATTAATCCAAAAAATAATGACCAGACTAATGAATTATTAAAATAATCATTAATTGCATCCCTATGGCTTAATTTAAAATGTAGCTTTTATTTTGTCATTGTCTGAGGAGATAATTTTGTTACTGTTTGCTCAGCAACAGACTGACAAATTTGGCTCTCATTAGAGGTCTTTAAATCTTTAACCAAAGTAGAAGGGGGTCTAGTTTCATCCCCTCTTCTCAACACACACATACTGTAGGTCTAAATGAAGCAGCTCAGTGACCAAATAGCAGTCTGTACATGCCTACTACAGCTATATACTGTAACATGCTTGCCTCTCCATTTCCGGCCTCCGTTTTTCGACCCTTAGACCGGTTCAGTTCAGGTCAGCAGACAGACACAATAACTATACAGGTCGAAAGAAATACTCCATAACATTTTCATATATAAATACTGTAAGTGCTAAAGTGAAAGACCAAGATACTTTAGTGTCTTTATTACAGCTGGTATGCCAGGCAGTGTTGTGGGAGTAACTAAGCACAATTACTCATCATTACTTTACTAAAATTTAATTTTAAGGTACATGTACTTTCCTTGAATATGTATTAATGTAACGTTATACTTCTGCTCTGTGTAGTTTCGTAGTTTGAGTGTAGTTTTTACTCCACATCATTCATCTGACAGATAGGTGATAGATTCAGCTATTACTTACATATATAATCAGTTTATATAATAAGATGCAAAATTATAAATAATTTTTTTAATAAAACTACCCAAAATGAATGCTTGCATTAAGACATTGTTAATAATACAACCACTGGTGGAAAAAAGTATTTGTAACATGTAAAAATCCCCTGTAGCGAGTAAAAGTCCAACTTTAAAGATTTTAAAAGTAAAAAAGTATTCAATCGTTTTATCATTATTTATAGGCTATTGTTGGAATACTATTACTTATGTATTAACACTCCAGCAGTATTTTAATGTTACAGCTGGTTGAGGTGGAGCTCATTTCAGCCAGTATATGTAGAGTTTGACACTTCAATCTATATTAATGCATCATATTTTATAAGCATCATATATGAACTGCTATCTTAATGTCTAAAGTAACTATAACTATAACTATAACAAATTTATTGGAGAAACAATGCAAGATTTCCCTATGTAATGTAAAGTACAAGTATCAAGTAGCATAAGTTGAAATACTCAAGAACAGTAAGCAAATACCTCAAAATTGTACTTCGGTACAGAGCAGGAGTAAATGTACTACTTACTTTCCACTAATAATAAAGCAGTCTGAATGAGGACTTTCTGCATAATGAGTAGGCCTAGGCTCACTTTGAGTATTCACAGTAGGCTATGCTGATAACTCTTACACTTCACACAAAACTTTGAATAGAAGAATTTTACTTGTAATGGAATAGGTTTACATTGTAGTATTTCTACTTTTAGTTAATCTAAATACTACTAAATACTCCCACTAGTGTTTTGCGTTCGTTACAAAGAAACAACTTTGTATTATTTCGTTAGAGAGACGACTGTTAATGTGTCCTCTAACAATTAACGACGTTAACCGTTACTTACCAAGGGAAAGTTGGCTGCGTGTTTTTTGTCTCCATGGTTCCTTATCAGTATTATTCACTAACATGCTCAGTTTTGTACAACGTTACAGAAAACAAACTGTCCCTGTCTTTTACATTCACAACGTTAAAAAAGAAAGAAAGAAAGAAATCCGGCACATGACATGCCAAGCGTTGTTTTGTTGCCTGGTAACCATGACAACGTAAAATAATGGGTCGTAGCAGAGACAGTAGAGAGGTAAGTAGGTACAGTAGACAGTAGGCATTACATGAGAAACGAGAGGACGTTAAACGGCCGTTTTACATTAATTGAACGTAAACACTATCTTTAATTTGGCTATCAGTGTCAGTGATGGATATAGCCTATAATTATAAAACCATTAGTTGTAGTTAACTTGAGTATTTACGTTTTACACTTAAATCAGTGTACAGTTGTGGTCACCGTGTTTTGGCCGGATTCCCACTCGGTAAGTGTTCAAAAAAGCCAATATGTCACTCAAAATCAAAGATAAGAGAAAAATTCAAAAACTGAAAACATCTGTGTATCAGAACTTCTTCTGTCCTTTCCCTCTAATAATCTCACAACCCTTGAGATTTATCTGGTGGCCATTTGGATGAGCCTGACTCCTAGGTTGGAAACTGGAAACTACTATACTTAACAAGCTAAATAAAGTAATTCAAAACTAGCTCCATCTCAGGCAGCTTCTACAGTAAAATGCTGCTTACAAACTGATGCATTAGTATTAACAATATGATGATAATATGATCTATCATAATATGTCAGTCACAGGAGACAAGTATTGCCGATAATACTATTATACTTTTACTTAAGGGTATTGAATGAAGGACTCTTACTTGTAAAAGTATTTTTCCATTGCAGTAGGCCTATTGGTATTTTTACTTAACTAAAGCATCTGGGTCATTGGCCAGTACTGGTGCAGCAATATCACAGCACACATTAACCTAAAATAGACGTTTCATTTTACGCTAATGTTATGCTGCTATGTTGGATATGCGTGGACTTTATATGGAGTGTAGATAATAGTACCACATTCAAGGTCCATTTATAGAGTGTTTAATGTGGTAACAGCTGTTGTGTTGTTTGAGGGACAGTTACTAAGAACACTCACCCATAATAGTAGAGATTGTTTGCCTTTTTCTCCTGTCTTACAGTACAAGTGCACAAGCCAGTAGCATATTAATAAAAGGTATGGTTATAAAGATGAGTCAAATTCCCCCTGTGTGGAGTCTATTGTGCAAATGTTTGAGCGCTAGAGAGCTCTCCTTTTTAGATAATTTGTCAGATAAGTTTATATAGGCAATTTAAATAAATATATTTCAGTATAAAAGAGTGAAGGTTTCACTCTCAAAATGTTACTCAAATAAAAGTGCACATGTATTATCAGCCAAATGAACCTGAAGTATCGAAACTACTCATTATGCAGAAAAATAAATGTTAAATTAATATATGCACATTATTTTCTGTGTAAGCAGCATTTCAATGTTGTAGCTGCTTGAGGTGGAGTGAATTTTGACTGCCTCACCTTTCTTTTGTGTACTTTAACCAATTACAAAGAATAATAAATAATCTTATCATCATCATCAATACAAGTACCACATATTTGTAGTTATTGGTAGAAGACTTGGGTAAATGTAGGTAATTCGTTATATTCCACCACAGATTAAGGTACTATTAATTACCCATGCTAAACTATTGTCAGAGCTGGTATTAACTTCTGACTTAATCAGTAGTTCCCTATAGTTTACAGTTATAATTTAATTTAAATTTACAGATTAATTCATGACAACATTACATAGAAAAGTGATTGTTGACTGGCCTTAATCACATGTCATTCCCTTTGGGGTTGATGAATTAGCTAATTAGCCTGAGTTCAGGTCCCCAGACTCTCCTGCTGTTCAAACAACAGGGAAACACTGCTGGGACAGAGAGACTACTGTTTCCCCTCTTTCAACACTGATGATCCCTATTTATAGCAGCAAACTAACTTAGTAAACAGTTTCAATGCGGTCAGTGAACTGTCTAATGCGCTGTTTCGGTTTGTTTGCCAGTGAAATAGCCCCAACTTGAATGCAGCCACAAAACAGTGACATTTGAATACACATTTGAGATTTGCAACCATAATAGACACCTTCAATTCAGTGTTTACTCACTGTTTTTGCATAATTAGCCTATAAGATCGTGTTGTTGATGGAGCAGTTTACCCTCTGGAGTTAATTTTGGGTAATTTTTGCTTTGAATGCAATAATTTTTGTCTTGGTTTAGCACCGTTTACACTGTCATACATGGTATCCTTTTGTCAGAACAGCTGAGCTACTGTATAAGTCTGACTTGTCATTTAAACAAAGTATAAACCCATTAAGATCTCTAACTGTAAGGAAAACACTCAAAATATTGTTATAGAACAGTTGAATGTTGTTAAAAATATCTTTATATCTATATTTATACACACAAATACAGCATAAACATGTATGAAATAAAACTATAATAATGCAGTCTATTTAAATGTAAATTATTTTGTGCACTTTTATATATATATATACCATTGTAAGTAAAATATTAATAATGAAAAAATGATAATCTATAGACATACTATAAATTAGACATCAGCACTTTCAACTGGTTTTCTGAACTTGTCTTTACGTAAAATATAAAATAAAATTTACTTTACTGTTACCATAAATAAAACATGCTCAATGTTTTAACATCTAATAGCAGTTCATAAAGCAAATATACTTTCTAATTACTTCAAGTAAGAACCATGTTTTTATGCTTTGGAAAAGAAAACCATCAGCTGATGGAAAGGGCAAACAACAGTATCAATGTTTTATTCTTTATCTTTTGTAGTTGGTCACAAAGTAACAATTAAAACGGCATTTAAAAAAAACAGTTCTGGTATTTCCATGCCAAGAACTACAGCCTCCAGTAAGATCTATGCTGGAGCTTATCAAGACTGTGAATGAATTTGTTTATCAAGCCAGTCATCCCGAGCCTCTTCCTCTTGCCTATAGATTCCTCGTGCTTTCACAGGACTGCTCTGAGGCAACAACATATGACAGCAACACAAATCTGTGAATGGATAATGTAGCGATGACCATGTTACGTCAGTATGGCGTGATTTCTCTGACTAATTTCCAACGTTAAATTATAGATGGAGTTTCACTCATGTGACTCTGTTCCTACCAACACAGCACTTTCATAGCTTTCTCCTACATGCCTCAGTCAGACTGGGTGACATACAGTGACCTACAAGGGCCTTCCTTCTCCTTGCTGGTGTACTGATGAGTCATCTGTTTTTAAAACCAACATGCATCAAAACTAACACCCATATTGAGATTAACTGTATTTGTTGATATTTTGACCTTTCAGTTTATGTATTTCCTCACCACAAAACTACCAGCTTTGGTCTGCTGTTCCCATTTGAGTGCTTAAAATATGCTCTTTTTTTTAATTTACCAGCAAAGCAAATTCTCTAAGAACAATTGTCATGAGAAAATGTATAACTCTAATACAGATTATTTTCATGTTTTTACCTCACATTATAAGGGGCTACATGAATGGGGAATGGGGAAATTCTGCCATCCTTTGGCCAATAAATGCAATTTGATACTGCCTGGGTAAACTCAAACACACGGTGATCAAGCCATAATGAAGGCTGCTTTTAGCTCCTGAAAAGTTTATATTTTTAGATGCAGTTTTTTATTTGGCCTGCATGCTCACAAGGAGCTTTATACTGTTTTATTTTTGGCTGTAGCACTACATCTGTGAATGTCCATGACTGACTGAGTGATGGAGTTACACCACTGCTCGACCGAGTGTCGGACTTTTCCCATTGGCTGTTGCTCTTTCAAAATAATTTGGCGAAAACAGTTTCTATTACATGATCTGGAGGCGTTTACAGCGGATCCACAACTGTTTTCAACTATACACATCTCCTCAAATAGTGACCGTTGCCTTTATTTACCTCAACTGCAGAAGGTAACAGGCCTTTATTTATTTGTAATTCCCTCTGTTTGATATGTATAATTGGTCATGCCAGTATTTTAATATAATAATAATAATATGATTTTGAACTGCTCCCATTTGTACTGCAACACACGTTAAAACAAATTCAACTCTCCTTGTCATATTTAAAGCCCTCTAGTGTTTCAGTCGACAGACACCCTTTATTTTTAACAGGGCTTTTCTTGCGGTGCAGACATGCGGCAGTAAGCCTGTTGTCTCATTTCTGGTTGCTATTGCTATGCTATTCAGATCTGCTAGTTTCTTTAACATAGCAATTACTACAGGCTTCTCTCCTGCTCCCTCTTGCTTGGTGTTTCCTATGTTTAGTTATGCCAACAAATAACTGTTGTTGAAAATAGCATTATTATATTGTTGAATTTGGCACTGGAAGGGGGATTTAATCCTGGCAGGTTAAATTCACATTTAATATTGTATTGTTATACGATCACTCCCCCCAAATGTGTCCATGTGCACAAGGAAAGGACAAGGATACTCACTTGGGAGGGGGGCTTACTGTTAGATTCTAATGAGGAAATGCCTGAAACTTTGTGTACTGTAAATTTTAGGCATAGATACTTTATGCCTCTTTCCTCTTCAAAAGGATTTCCTCCTCATGCATCCTGGCATAAATACTGAAACACGACACCTCTATAATTTGTCATTGTCTACAAACAGCTCTCTAAATGGTTGCTCAAAGATGGCCTGACCTGGGAAAGCTCTGCCCCTTTGGAGAAAAAAATCTGAGAGTAAATATTAGGACAACCATATCTACTTTACAGTTTACATATGCAAACCTCAAGACACTGTGTTTGCTGATATGCCTAATGTGATCAGGGCAAAAGTAGTGAAATGATAAAATTTGAAAACTAATTCCACTTTGATCCATGAACAAATCCTAAATGATACTCATTGTAATAATTCAGATCATCATTTCAGCACTTGATTTATCTCATCAAGAAAGGAATGAGGAACAGTAAAGGGAGGCCACTTTTGATTATTTACTTGATGATTTGCATTCTTGTATTTGTATATTTACTCCACACATGCAAAATAAAATAAATGAAAAAACAAAGCAACGGGACAGGATTTATTTTCCTCCAGAGACTTTCTATTTCTAATCAACAGAATAAGTACAA